TCCATCTTATTACAAAACATATTAAACAGGTTTTCCTGCCAGGCATGTCTGACATGATGTTTATTGCCTCGACCAAATCAATCCCCTTAATAAGCTATAATATATGCCAGCAAGTACATTATTTCATAGTTAAGGAAAGTTGCTACATAAAAGAGTAAGTTCTTTGATCTCTCATCCTCTGCTACTAATGCATCAGAAATGTGCTACATAATCCACTAGTCATTTTCTATTTATACTCACTTAATAAGTAAAATAAAATTATATTTTACTAATCTTAAACTTTTAGTCCTGGCTTCTGCTTTATAGTCTGAGTGTGTAAACTAGACACTTGCATAAAGTTGAAAGGAAACTAGCTATTTACTAGATATCAAGAAAAAAGAAATATTCAAATATTTGAATATACAGTCAGTGGTTGTTAAAAGAAATTGGATTTTGAAGTAGCTCAGATTTTGGACTTTTCCATTAGGAATGATCAACTGTTAAAAGTCTATACAAATATTCCAAAATCTGAAAATCTTCAGTATCTAAAACACATTTTTTATCTCAAGCTTTCAGATATGGAATATTCAACCAATACAGGAAAATAAAAAATTTCTAGAGATTAAACAGTCATTGTTTGTAATATAAATAAATTTAATTTAATTAAGACAGCAGGTTAAAATGACTCCAGAGGCATGGTACCAGTACAGATGAGAAAGAGTCTAGAAGATAAGAAAGGATGACATTTATCACCATTAATACTCATTAATACTACAAACATACCCAAGTCTGAACATCAAAAATATTTTTTAGAGGAAAGCTTCGGTTGGCTGTTTCAGAACAACTGCAAAAATTGAAATGAATTCTTAAAAAATGAGTCAGAAAACTAGACACCACCAAATATCTTGCATGTTAAGGAAGAAGATTTTTTGATGGATGTCAACAAGCAATCAATCCATAAATATTTGAGTTCTTCAATGTGTAATGCTAGTCTCTGCCAAGATTCCTATTCTGTAAATGTCTCTTCCACATTTTGACTTTTCTTGCTGTGGCCATGTAACTCTCTTTCTCCCATGCATCCTCAGCATCTGTTTTTGTTTTTGTTTTCTTTCACATGTTGGGTCTAGTACTTCTTTACTTCCTATTAGCACAGCTCACCACTAAGGCTTTCCCTAGGAAAGAGATGTTCACATAGTTCCAAGCGAATGTCACACAGATCAGCATTAAAATCACTTTGCCTACATTCTGCCCATAAGCTATAAAGTTCTATGAACTGGTGTTCCTTAGAAAATACTTTCTTATCCACTAGTCAGATACTCGAATAAGTTTCATTCCTATGTTTCAGGTCCCTAGTCTGTGTATCTCTAGAGCAAGGCCTAAGCTTCTTGCTCTAGGCTCTTTCCAGAAGATTAAATTCTACTGAGTTGGTTTAGTGTCAGTTTCCAGCTCTCCTGTGATAAACTCACATTGTAGTAGAAAGCTGTTCATAACTACTGTTGTTAAGGACTGACATGCGATGCCAACATACATAAAGGTAGCGCAGAGATCTACAGAATTACAGGTAGATCTAGGGCAAGGGAAAATAAGATAAATTGGTAATATTAATAAAATGATGAGACAAAAGACAAGAAGTGTCTTGATATAGCACATGACAATTTCCACATAAGTTGCATATACCCACGTGTCTTGGTGTTGGAAATTTTTGGCAATATGGGTGGAATTTGGAATGTGGACATAAGAACATAAGGCAAGGTTACACACTCCATAAAGCACAAAAATGTAGAGGATACAGAAAATTTGTAAAGCAGACATAGCATTAGGTCAGAATGAGATATTTCCATTTTCACCCTTATGGGACTATGATGACACAGTTAAAAATGAAAACAGGCTGTTCTACTTTTATATATCCAGATAAAAATGTATGCATCAGTGTATCAAATAAATCAATGTAACATACTGAGTAGATTAATTCATGACAAAATTAGATTAATTTGGGGGATGAAATATTGGCCACTGGATTGGAAAGGAGGCTAGGGTTTGTTGCTCGTTCTGGTATATTTGAATGTTGCCTCACAGAAAATCAAGTACTATGTTTTACTAATTTAGGACTTGTGACAAAAAAGTTTGGAATTTTAACACTTGCTCCATCATCTTATTTAAAATTTATTGTTAAGACTCTGTCCTATAAAATTTTATTAGGAAGCTCCTATAAAGGCTGAAAGGGTATAGCACTGAACAGCACAGACTGAACGCTTGCCTTCATGCATCTTACAGTAAGATCTCTGTGACCTAGGGAAAATTACTGAATGGTTTTGACCTTCAAGCTCTTCCTTTGTAAATTTAGATCAATAAAACCATCTAATAAAGTGAGACTATATATTGTTCATAAATACTTACCTCTGTTGTCATCATATATTACCATAACTCTTACTACTTTTATCATATAAGGTTTAATTTTCATATTTCAGATGCACACTTTGTTTTCAAGTAATAGAACAATGTAGTAAAGAGAAAAGGGAGCAAGAATCTACAGTAATTATAATACCTTCTTTTAACACTGGTTTTTCTGATTTAGTAGTTATTTATCCTAGACAAACATATGCAGCAATTTCATTAATTACAAAATAAGGATAAAATGATTCAACCTAACTACCAAATTAGGCTGTTGTGAAGAAACATGAGAATTTGAAACATAAATGATTGAGAAGTATATGAATAAAAGTTAATTTATTTCCATCATACTCTATGTTCTGAGTCAAACTTGCAAACACTTATTATCTGAAGATATACACAGGGAAGAAAATAGTTCTTGAGCAGATCAAAATTACCTAACAAGTAATATATTTCACAAAAGAAGAACCATTCTTCTCTTTCCCATTAATCAAACTATGTAGAAGTATGTTTGAAGAGTTTCAACATACCTCTGCTGTTCTACGCAATTCCAGAAAATTTTAAGAGAAAAACTGTTTATTAAGAAAACAACCATTTCATTAACTAAGACTATTCCATAAAAATTACGTTAGGTATACGAGTCCACTTTTATCTTTTGGTGCTTTCAATAGGAACTTGAACTGATGAGTGAAATGGGGCAAGCAAGAAAGAAGCAAAAAGACATAAGAAAAAGAAATGCAAAAAAACAAGGACTGCAAAGGAAAGAAAAGAATTTCAGAAAGACAAAGGGAGAGAGAGCATGTCTTAATGAAGCAACATAAAGAGATTTTTTTTCCTTTGGTGTAAGAAAAAAATAGATGCAGGGATAAATGAAGCATTTGTGAAAAACTGGGTAAAGAAAATACACACATACAAGAGAACAAAAGAAAAAAATCAAAGCCATGCTGACAAGATAGAAAGAAATAAACCCAGAGGCAGATGTTTGAGATACATGTTAAATCTGCACGTCATACACAAATGAAAGAAATTGTTTAAGAAGGAATAAAAACCTCAACATACCAAATCATTTTTTTTCTTTGAGTTTCACATAGACGAGTGAATGGTCTTTGTCATTTATATATTTCAAAAGCCTTCCAGAGCTCGTTTTTGAAATCTGGACATCAGAGGTAATTTTTAAAAATTTAACTCTGTCATTGATGGTGGTTACAGTAGGAAGCTTAGGACTACTGACAGAAAAGGTAACATCATGAGCCTGATATGAAAGAAGGGTGCATAACTACACTGAGACATACAGGCTACTTACTCCAAATCTAGTAAATATAAGTATTTGTTAAATACTGACATGATTTTCAAATGTTTAAGTTTTGCTATCTCTTTAATTCCTGTTTAACTAACTCATCCCATGAAGTATTTTTGGTATTCTTGGTCAGGACACAGTTTGGGCGATCTTAAGAATTTACATGCTACTTTCACAACTCAACTCAATTAAATGTCTTGAATTTCTGAAAGCAATTCCAAAAACAAGAGTGATTGTGTCTTGAACTACAAGTAAAATAAAATAAAATTTAGAAAACAACACATATTCCCCTCAAAGGTCAGATGAAATATTTTATTAGTGATCTTTTAAGCTAAATGCAAAAATAGCTCAAGTTGAATATTCTGAAATCTTACAAGATTCCTATCTTACAGTGTAATTTATGAAGTGTTAATTTGTCTATATTCAAATATTATGAATATTATCAATTTACTATACTACCTTATCCAATAGCATTTCTGGTATGACTTACTATTTAAAAATAAACTCCTAGCATCCATAATAAGGAACTTAAAAGGGCACAAGTTTGTCTCATTTATATAATGCACAGCATGTACATCACGAAGAAATGTCAAAGTGCAAACACAACTGTTTGTGTCCCTACAGAATCAGACATCCTTGAGCAGCACTGCAGTAACGATCTCATGCTGCTAGCATTACAAAGTGCAAAGGCTCACTGGGAAGAGAAGAGCAAACGACAAAAATTCTCTCATTATACTATCCCCAAACTGTTTAGCTTAAATATTTATTAAGATATGAATCACACTTCCTCCCCCCATCTTCCTTCAGAAATTAGACTTAGACACCATGGATGGATAGTTGCTCATATGAAAACAAATCATTTTCCGGTAAAACTTACCATCCAAGGTGAAGACTATTTTGACAGTGTGCTATTAATTCAATAGACAATATGTTTTTGAATTATTAGGCTACATGTACTCTTTCCTATAGAAAACATAACAGCCTAATACCTTAAAGAAATGGTATGTTGGGAGCTAGACTGGACAATTTTCTTTCTTCTGCACACAGGATGATAAAATGATTTTAGAGAATTTTCCTTGAAGTAGTATGTGACACAAAAGGAAATAGTAAGTGCACTTGACACTTCTATAAAATATCACAATGAAATAAGAATGACCCGTTACATAATTTTCAATATAAAATCGAAACATTTTTTCTAAGTAGACAAGCATGGGATACAAATGGTTAAAATTTAAACAACTAACTTTACTAAAAATTAAACAAAATACAGTATATGAAATAAAATATTCACAAAGTAAAGGAAGTAATAAAGGAAAGTAGTAATCTCACTCACTCTGATATACAACTGCACCATTTCTTTCTCTCTTTGAGGGTTACGATACTTCTCATAGAAATCACGCCGCTTCTTTGTTTCTTTAGAGACTTTATCTTTTCTTTCCCTTTTTTCCGCTGGTTCATCTGTACTATCAGAAGTTGACTGCACATGTGTCTTGGGCTTTTCTACTTCAATATAGTTTTCATTGGGATTCAGCACTATTACTCCATATCCTTCCTGTTTAGAAATGAAAGAATATCACACAGGTTGATTTTAGAATCCATTTCAATTCATAATAAAGTTCCCAAAATTTGATGAATTTAATGTAGTTGCATATTAAATAAAATATTTCTTTAGGAACAATTATGCTTTCAAGATATCCAATGAAAAGTCCTTTGAAAGAGCTTATTTCTATTTAATATGTAAATAAGTATATAATGTCTATAAGAACAAAAAGACATAATTGCAACATAAATATTATAAATCTTAAATTAAAAATTCAGATCTCTCAGAGCCTTAAGAGTGAATGAAATAAATGATCAAAGTGTATTTTCAAATCACATTAATATTTATAATACATATTTTGTGAAAACAAGTTCACTGAAAGTGACGTTAACAATTCAAACTACACTTTTTTAGGATCTTTCTTTACAACTGCCCTTTAAAGAGCATTTTAAAAATTCTGAACAATAAAAAGAATATCCACTTTAAAAGCCATAAATCTGATCTAACATTCCACAAATGTATGTATTTATTCTACTAGAAACATAGTCCCCATGTGCATTTGATTTTTACTCACTTCTTTCAGGTTTGACAAATTACACAAAATAAACCAATACCTTATTATGATATAAGCAAACACTTCTTTAATCTTGAAATTTCATTTCTGAAATTACCATAATAATTTCTCTTTATTAAGAAATATTTCTAGGGAACTACAAGTAAAGCTGCAAAGTTTAAAAATATAGCTTACTGAGCTTATGAAAGATTTCAGTTTGTAAAACTTATGCTCTCCTATCTGATTTATTTCTAGCGAGACAAACATTTCTATGACTATAATTAAGAAAACTCTTGATATTTATAACTGATGGGACAATCTAACCATGAGAGAACAGAGAAGGGTAAACAATAACCAGTGACTCGCACATGCATTGCTACTTTTTGAAGCTATTATATATCTGTCTGCTCTATTCAATTCTGTATTGTGGGTGTTTCCATTATGTCCTTATAAAATCCTATAAGGCCACACTTATAGATGTTCTACATTATGAGAAAAAAGTAAGAGTTGTAGAAAATAAAATGTAAAACATGTCATTACCAAAAAAAAGTATATCTGTTCAAAATTATTACCAGAGAATGCTCTTTGAGGTTTAAATTTTATTTATTTATTCTGCCAAACCAACTGGAAGATTTTTAAAAACTGAAAGGAGTAAAAAGAAACCAATGTTAGCATGGATTCTACTATCTTAATGCTAAATACACTACACTGCTGCATGTGGCTGGCTAATTTCTATTGCTGATTTTGCACACTACCTACAAACTTCACTGGGATTCTTTCAATTTTCACCTTACATCAGATGAAATTATTGTCTAAAAGCATGACTGGAAAGTTTGAAAATAACTAAAGTTCTAATTTTAGTGCTAGGACTGTTAAGATAAGTCTGCTTATATGTGTGAATATTTTATAATAATATATATCAACAGATTAACAAAATAACACATTCTTCAACAGATGTTCAAATAAAACTTTTATATAAATAAATGCTTCTTTCATGAAGGGCTTATAAATGCTTCACAAATTTCTTAATGTAAACACTTTGCTTCAAAGCACTGGAGGTTTTTTTTATATTTCTTAGCTGATAAGTCAAAACTTTTACCAACAAAAGATATTTTATTTGGTCCTGCTTTATTCTAATCTGTATAGCTATTCAAAAGTCTTGTAATTCATTGTGATCACTGTCAGGTAGACAGATTGTCACTTGGTGATTTTCTACAGTTGGACACACTTGACTAGTTATTAAAATCACATTTGAAGAAGTTCCTCTTCCTTGTGCCTCTTACAACTTTTCACGCCCTTCTCAAATTTCAGCCATAATTTCTCCTCCCACCAAAAGTAAGTTAAAGAACACTGTTGCACTCTGCTAAACAGGGTGAAATAGAGGCATTCAGTACACTGTCTCTGGTGTAAGGAACATAGTCAAAAAAGGTCACCATAGGCCAAAAAGAAAATTGCCTCCTTACTAGATTCTGTATCGTGAGTAAGTGGTCTCCTGTCATGTTTCCTCCCTGCCTTCTCTGAGTGAATTGAACTTTAAACACACACACACACACACACACACACACACACACACACACACACACAGAAATGCATGCACACCCCACCTCTCATATTCATACACAAGACTGAGTTAGCAAATCCCAAATACAATCTTCTAATTCTTAAGGATGGAAATAATGCTATACTACATTGTAAAGATAACACCAAAAATTTCAAACTGAAGGTAACAAGGTTTGACTTTATTACTGATATATTGGAAGTATTGATTTTACACAATGAATGGCTTCCAAATAAAGGACAACTCAGTGCAAAGTCTATAATCAACAGAATTACAAAATTACTATACCAATTTATAACCTAAATATTACAATATTTTCATATCAGGAGACTTTTTACTTCAGTTTTTAGGACCTATAGACTGAAAATGTGTTGTGCTTACTTCATTTTAAATAGACTATAAAATTTGATAAGCACCATCTAGATAAGTATAAAAATAGACACATAAATCATGAAAGAAGTAGTATTTGTGCAAGCTATTGATTACATAACTGAAAATTACACGACTCACTTGTTCAATTTTATAAAGGGACAGTGTCAATAGAAGAAAATGATTCTACTTTTACATCATCACTATATAAATAAATTAAAATTTTTCCCATTTACATTTCAACAATGACTATTTCTCATTGAACACATAGATTATTTGGAAAATATCTTTTAGATATTTCAGACAACCAATTTAACTAATAATAATGAAAATAAATATTCCGGAACATTTTCTGCAGAAATGAGTGTTTATTAATTAAGTGTCTTTGTTGAAAGTTCAATTACCGTTCTGTTAAAAAACCTAGCATTGCTTAACTAAAATTTTACTGATCATATAACTGACACAATAGTTACACAGAACATTCATAACCACTTTATGAAGAAAAAGAAGGTGCAACAAAATAAACAACCCTAGCTACACTGGATCTAACAGTAGATACACAGCAAAACTTCATTAATTCCTCCTTTTCTCATAACAATATAAAAAAATTCCTTTTGTAAGATAAAAAGATTTTGGAATGTTATCACAATATATAGAGAAACTAAAAATTCAAGGCAATAAAATATCAGCAGTTAAACTTAATTTTTAAATAAAAATTACATCTTTAAAATCATAATGCATAAAATTTTAAAAAGTAATTTTACTCTGATACTTCAGTAAGTACCCAAAAATTAAGTTGCTAATATGACCTATAATAAATGTGTCTACAAAGTTCTACAAAACTACACTATAAAATAAGGCAGTATATTATCATAAAAGAACTGTGCGCTGCTACTCAAAGAATGCTTCCTAATTTAGGGTTAGAATCTTAAATATTTTACTCCGAAATATTCTTTTTATATTCAATCATTCCTTAAGCACGCTAAATTTTGAACAGGATGAAAAATTAGGCTTTTTGAAACACACACAGAAACCCCCTTCTGTTATCTGTAAACAAACACGATAAAACTGATTATCTAACATTCTACAACTAAATAAACAAAACTTCTGGCATCTTTTATAATGATTTACCCAAATCAATTCCAATATCCAATATTTCAAGAGACAAAGCATACATAAAGTTGATAATTAACTCTTACGTTTGTTCACAAAGTCAAGTAGATCAAGACGGTGATCAAGAGGACAGATATTGAAAAAAGTAAGATAATTCATTTCACTACATTTCCTATATTTTTGTGTATATACCTGTTGTTTAATTTGAGACCTGTCTACACTATGCAATCTTAATCAGAAATCCTCAAAGATTTACTGCTAGACATGGCACTGTATTCAGCATAAGTACTTCCTGGATTTAAATAAAATACACAGCTTCCACATCTGGCCTTCTTCACTTTGGAATCTAAAATGAACTTACTAATAACAGTTTATCATTCAATCAACAAATATTGTCTTGGGTTAGATCTAAAACAGACAGGTGATGCCAAACTCAAAGATCCAATGAGGAAAACTTGCTAGAGAATTAAATCAGTACAGAAATGTACTTATCAATTAAAAAAATTTTTAAAAGCCAGACCCAAACCAGACTATATTTGACAACAAATGATATGAACAAAAAAGCTGAACATTTATCCAAGTTAATTTACCTATTAATTACCAATTACAAGGAGAATGGAAAATAGAGACAAATTCTGCATCTTTTTACATCTCTTGTGGTTGGCTAAATCAAAGTCAGCTCAAAGTATTCTGCTCTGCATATCAACCTGCCAATACTGCAAGCCACACGTGACCAGAGAGGTCAGGGGCTACAGTGGAATCCTTTGACCTACGGAACTACCCATTTTGGTCTTTGGGCAAAGTTCTGCAAGAGATCATCTTACATAGATTTATCAATTATATTTTTCAAGTTCAACATTCTGTCAGCTTCACTGGAAAGAAGATAGGTGCTCATCCTCCAGGGAAATGAAACTTGAAGTGTTTTATCTCTGCATCTACCCATGGCTAAAATGGACAAACCACTGTCCGTTCATCTTTTATGAAAGATGTATATTGTGTTTATTCTCATCTTTTTTCACAAGAAGGGTATGTATATGTCACTGTTGCAACATCCTAGGTGCAACAGTGAGATGAGGTCATGACAACCAATCAGAAGTCACTAGTGAAGCGTTAAAGTAAACATAGCTGTTGGAGCTGCAACTCTGTTTGAAAAATGCCCCCTCCATTATTTCAGCAATTTTCTCAAGACGTGACCTGGGACTGAAACAACTGAAATGTCACTTGACTGTCTTTTGTGCTTCTTCTCCACATGCATTTAGGTAACAACACCCTACTAATATTTTGTAAAACGTTCACCAGCACCATTCTTCAACTTGCAGCTTCCTGAATTCTGATGCCATGTTTCATGGTATAAAAACAAAACAAAACAAAACAAAACATAATAAGGACCAACACAGTTTATCCCAGTTAAGTTCCCAA